ACCTCGAGCTGTTCAAGCCGACTTCCCAAGTCTGTGAACCTTTTGGAGAGCTCTGAACTGCTGGAAGCTCCTTCATCTCGCAGAGAAATTACTGAAGCACGAACTTCCCCCGAGACTTCTTCCAGAAGGGACGCCTGCCGATCCTCGACCCGCTTGACCACCGTGCCCAGCTTTTTGATCTCCAGCCTGGCCGATTCGACATCCTCGGCAGCTGCAACTTGAAGAGCATCGAAGCGACGTGAGAGGCTCTGATGTGCCTCTTGCACGCGTGCGTCCAAGTTCTCCATGCGAGTGGATAGGGACGCAGACATTTCTGCACGTACATTTTCGCAAGCGGACTCAACATCATCCAACCGTCTCGACAGAGCATGTTGCATATCCCGCCTTCGGGTCTCCAATTCCGGCTTAGCAAGTGTTGCTATCTCAACTTTGAGCCGTTCAATCTGAGACTCAAGATCGATGCGGGATGCCGCCATCTGTCCGATTTCGCGATGCAGGGAGTCCAGCTTGAGTCTGTCTCCTTCTCCCACGCCGGATACTGCAGACACCTCCTCTAGCACCTCCACTTTCACCTCGCTCTTCCAGCTGGTCAGCTTTCGATCAAGAGTCTGCACCAGCCGTGCCAGCTCAGCAAGCTCATGGCGAGTTGCATCCACTGATGCCGCTGCTGTTGCAATGTCATCGCCACTTTGGCGCTGCTTTGACATCACATCGACCGACTGCTTCTGCAACTCGGACCACCCGGCACGCAGCCGGGCGAAGTCCTCGGCCACAGACCTGCGGATGTCGTCGATGGCAACGCTGTGTTCTCTCAAACGGCTCTGAACAACGTCGCCATCTTGCTCAACCGTCAGCCGCAGCTCGTTCACCGTGGACATCACTCGCTCCACCGTTGCCAAAGCTTCGGCCTTGGCCTGACTGCTCGAGGAGAACTGGCGATCTGTGTCTCCAGAGATGCCTTCCACAATGGCAAGTAACCGACTTTGCCCTTCTGCCAGGCTGCGCACTTGATTCTCCAGTTTTCGTCGAGCTTCATCCGCCTGTTGCACAGCCCGGCTGGCATTCTGTGATGCTGTGCTGGTCTCCTGCCGCGCATGTTCCACCAGTTGCCTCATCTCCCCGTCTTGGATCAGCCTCACGGCTTGGTCGACTCTGTTATCAACCAGGCACTCCACCCAGGATCTCAAGGCTGGTGATATGTAGCTTGTGTCTCCATAGAATGCAGACCTCTGGGGAGAAGCAACTGATGCCACTGAAGCAGGTAGCGGTGCAGCGGACAGGCGCATAGGTGGTTGCGCGATTGTGGCCACATAGCTGGTGGGCGAGTCAGACCGTGAGGAAGCCGGTATGACTGGGACCGTGCTTGCATCGACAAAGGTTCGCACCCTTGGCTCTGGGACGGCCATGTCTTGCTGCGCTCGCTGGCGCGCACCCTTGAACCGAAACACTGATGATGCTGGCATTCAGGTCGCCCAATGTTTCACACTTTCTCAGTGCGGCCTTGCACAGGACACATGCTACTCTGCTACTCTCTTCGACTCGAGGTTTCGTAGATCAAAACGATCGCATGTAATACGTCGAACTAACGCTGACGCAATGCAAGATTCTCACCATCATCTCCGATGCTGACAATAGACTTCATTCAGATCAGTCCGGCCGAAGTGGGGATGCAAAACTTGCGACAACTCGGCACTGAGCCAGGCTTGCGATCACATTCTTCATTCCTGCTTATGTGGCACAGCAATACTGAACAAAAACCTCCATCCGTGTGCAACGTTTACAGATTGCGGCTTGTACTGAGGCACCCATCGGTTCAAAGCCACAAGGTTCAGCGATATGCTGAAAGACGACATGCCTGCGATGGACGTTCCCGATGTGAACCTTCATGACTACTCATTTGCATGTTCATTCTCACACGGTGTTGGACAACTCAAGAGACATGCACGAGCTTCTGCTTGGCAAAGTGAAAATGAGATCCAATCCTGCCTGCTGCTACAGGCACTTAGACAAGGCTGCAATCGAGGTACCTCACGATCCTCAACTTAGTTGGGCCGACATTAAGTGACAGATCGACTGCAAGCAGCAGCTGCCAAAGGCTGCAAGGCCCATATGAAGCTGCTCTTCATGGAGCAAGTCACAAAAAACTAGCACGGAAAGAGTTTCATGCAAGGGAACCGGAAGCGTCAGACCGTGAATTGATCCATGCTGTGATTCGGTCGGCCACATTCGTACGCTTCGCGGCATGTCCTTCAATGCCGCGTTGTGGACATGCTTGCATGTTGTGTTCCGCCTGTGTTACGGTTGGAGGCTAACACTTTGGCAAGCAGAAGTCACAGTGCAGCCACAAGCCCTAAGTTAGGCACACGCACTTTTTCCCCGAATCCGACGAGGTCCGAGAAGTGGCAGATCAGATCAAAATTCCGAGGGACCCGGGGCAGGCATAGCTCAGACAGGTCCGAAGACCGGTCGGAAATACGCCACCCCTCCTCGGATTGATCAAACAAGGGGTTTTACAACCCCCAATCCGGTCCGAGATAAAACTGATGACCCGGGAGCCCGAGAGTGAGAAGGTCCCGCAGAGCCGTACAGGAACAAAGCACAGGTAATCGGCACCTGAGGCAACCGTACCTGGCATTCGTATACTGTTTGCAAGTAGGGCCCGAGAAAGGAGCCCTGGGCTATTGCTCCGATTTGAAAGCAAGGAGCTTGTCCAGGATCATCCAGCTTGGAGACCAGGAAAGGGAAACTTCCCTCCTATTTCCGGGGGAGAATCCTTCGAAATCAAAGTGAGTGAGCTGATCTGCCCACGTGTTTGAGCTCCTCTTGACATGGGTGACCTGAGCAAAGACACCCTTGTGGAACTCCTGTGCGGAGAGCTCCATTAAAAGCGCCGAGCAAGGCCATTTCTTCGAAGATCTCTTGCTGGCAGAAAAGGCGTTACCCTCATTGTCTGTAGTAAGAGGGAGGTGAGCATCGACCATGCTGGGTCCCAGGGACTCCGCAGCTAAAAGGAAAAGAATGAAGGTACCCAGGAGTTCCAGGGCCCCAATCCGGCGCTTCGGAGAAGTGTGCGCCAAGAGGGGCTGAACCCATGGAGTGGTAAGGACGTCCATGGAGAACCACAGGACCTCCGCCTTGGTAGGGTTAAGAGAAGGCGAGAACCAGCCGCCAATCGCCACCCGGCCATCATCCTCACCGGCATCACTGCTCCCGTAGCATGGAGTGTTATGCTGCAGACGTAGAGGAACGCAGGGGCCAGCATCCAAGATGGAGATGAGCAGAGTTGCCAGGAAACGTACAAGGTCTCCCGGTCTGCATTTCCGTTCAAGTTTCTGCTCCCAAGCATAAAGTGGCTGGAGGTGGGAGCTCACCTGAGGGTAGGCTTTCGCTACCCACTGCAACTTGCCCAGTAAGGAGGTGACTTCCTTTCTGGTATGAAGTTCCCCTGCTGCCAACTTCGCCAAGGCCGGTCGGAGGATGGTCATCTTTTCTTCCGGGAGCCACACAGAGCCCTCTGAGATGTTCACCATGTACCCCAGCCAACGGTTGACCTTCCCAAGGGCATTCTTGTGCCAAGAGATAGGACAGCCCAGCAACGTAAGGAAGAGCATGAGGGTGGCCGCCCCCAGTTCTCCAAGGCTCTCCTTCATAACCGCCATGAAATCATCAACAAAGACCAGAAGCCACAGGAAGACCTCAGAAATCTGGTAGGAGAGGCGGGTGAGGATGGCAGCCAACCGGCCCCAGTAAAGCTGTGCCGAGGCCACCCCGTAGGTGCCGACCTTGTTGACCCAGAACTTCTTCTTGATCTTAGCCACCATGTACTTCCAGTGCTTCTTGAGAACTTTGATCCTCCGGTGGGCCTTGCTAACATCGGACTTGAAGAGGGTCAGGTCCTTAGACTTAAGATGGAGCCAGGCAAAAAGCAAGTCGTAGAGAGTCGAGGCCGTGGTCTTCTTGTCAGTGTTCGCCCTGATGTTGTCGTTGACGCCGATGACAGAGGCGTCAAAGATGGTCCTGACCTTGTCTAGTTCCCACATGCCCGCCATGGCCCCGACACACAGTTCTGCGACCGAACAGGCACAAAGGTCCGCTGCCTCCTGTTCCGACATGGGCCCAGCCACCATGTCGAGGAGTTTCTCTTCCAGGAAAGTTTTCTCGATGGTGTCCTCGAAGACCTCCGCACTGGGCCTAGGTGCATTCCCCAGTTCCTGCTTGGACGGCCATATGTTCGGGTCCGGAAGCGTTGGGCCGTCCACCCCGAGAGGCACTCCTTCATGAAGGTGTTGGAGGAAGTCCCGGTCCGGGTCCTCCGCCAGCTCCACCAAAGCTTGGAGAATGTCCAACGCAAACGGCTGCCCAGGCGAAACCTCAGCTGAAACAGGTCGGTGGAGTCGGGAAGAGAGGAGTGATGCCAGTTGTTGGCGGAGGTCTGCGACCCACTGGTCTGGCCAGGGGCAGCCCCGCGCCTGGGTCCTGAGCGATTCCCGAAAGGACGTCATCGGAGATACTTCAGGGGAATCGGCACCTGCGGCAACCGTCCCCGAGGTGAGTGTCTCCTCGATCCAATGGCCAATCCAGGCCAACTTGCATTTGTCCCTGTCTTCAGGCTTGAGTCTCCCAGGGGATGGCTTTCCACCACCATCCCTGAAGGGGCGAGAACGGTGTCCCAGCCGGACAATTAGGGTACTAGCTGCCACAGGAGCCAATGCCGAAGCAATGGAACGGTCACCATCCGTGTCCCCGGATGTTGAGAAGAAATCTAGCAGGGCCGTGGCCAATTCAAGATTGAATTGCCACCCCCAACGGGCCAAGTCAGAACTGGACCACCAGACGGGGTGGTCCGGATGCCTGCACCTGAGGCCATCCCAGTCCAGGGCCAGATTGCTGAGAACCGCCGTGGGTTTCCTGGCTCCGTGCCCCAGCATACACTGGTCAAAGCAGTGTATCTTCATCCGCGTCAGGCCCGCGAAGTCTTTACACTGGGCCGTGGCCCACCACGAAGAACAATTCTGCTGAGCTTCCGAGGTACCTTGGTTGGCGGGATCCTCGGGTGTTCCAGGAGGAATGCTGGGGGCCGAGGGCCCGACGCCATTGCAAGGTGATAGAGGAGCAGCATCCTGAGCAAGAGCAGAGAGTCATTATCCGTATCCCTGAGCACCGACTCCGGAAGGTCTTCGAGGCCCCAGGCTGCTTGACCTTTCCTGCCCCTGACTGGGCCAGGACAGCCGACTCTGGGTACATGTCGCAGAATCGACCAAGTCCTGCAATTGGGCCCTCCAATGATTGCCATGAGGTCGCCAGAGAGCGCCAGGGCACAAAGGTCTGAAAAGGTTTCCTCAGAAAGAACATCTTGGGAGATCCCTCCCCTACAGATGTCCAATTCTCTGACTGAGGCTCCCAAGAGAGGGGCAACCTGTGCTATCGCTGCCTTGGTGCTCCTGGCATCATCCTTCCCAGCATAGAGAATGAGCACTGTCGGCTGAGACAGCTTACCGGCAACCGGCCATGAAGACACTCCAGGCAGAAGTCTATCCAAGAGCCTCTGAGGGAGGCCTCTAAAGCCCGGAAGCGTAGGTAGAGCCTGGCACCAACGGTCTCGATTCCATCGGTCACCATCGCCTGCAGCTTTGCTTGAAGAACTCTTGTCCGGGGCGGGCGGCTGGGCAACCGCCCCAGGGTGGACCGTCTCTGTGGTTCCCCCAATAGGAGCAGCCCGAGAAGTCCCGACCCGTCCAGTGTTCGTAGGGAATCGGCACCTGAGGCAACCGTCCCCACCGAAGCCAGACTAGAGCGAGGAGGTCCCAAGCCTGTCACCGCGTCACTGGCTGGGAGGAAAGAGATGGCCCCTCGCCCCTCTGCGACCCCCGGAGGGGAGGGGCCGGTTTCTCACGAGTGGTCCGCCGCCCTGTGGTTCTTCTCGCAGATCTTACCGTCTGGGAGGATCACAGGGCAGTTGTGGGAGCGACCACAGTCTCCCGGGCACCGGTTGAAGGCATGGTACTTCTTGCAGAACTCTTTGCCATCTGATCCTTTGGGGGCCCATTCTTGGTGAGATGCCTTGGTGCGAGCGAATGTCGCCGGTGGTGGAGGGGGGTGTTCCGCCGCCTCCTCCGAGCGAGTGGCCCAACGCCAGTCTTCCTTCTTAGACTTTCCCTTGCCTTTGCCAGGCTTCTTGCCTTCACCTTTCCAATAGTCCCACTGCTGCCAAACTTTGCCCTTGTCCTTGTCTTTGCCCTTGCCCTTGCCTTTTCTAGGGCCTTTGGGCTGGCCAGTATGGTGGCGACGAAAGCAGAACTCATCGATTTCCATAGACCAGAATCGCGAGTTATTCTGGATTTCTTTGAGGGCGGCAGTGATGGTCAAGGTCTCATCCTTGGCCATGTTGAGGGCCACCTGGCGCCAGTCCTTTCTTTCTGCTGTCATTAAAACCCCCAATGAGGGGGCAGGCTCACGGCCCATGATGGTATCCCCGAAGAGGAAGTTGTAAAAGTCGTCCAAGTCCGCCTTGGTGAGGTGAATGCAAGAGGGGCCCGTGCAAGTCGCCACCACCATGAGGAGGGACGTGCGCCAGATCATGAGGACCCGTTTCCATTGTTTCTCCGATTGGACACGATTGGATTCCTCATGGATCCACTCCTCATCTTCTTTGCTTTGGCGCTTCTGGAACTTCAATTCACCATCCTTGGGGTGGTTTGCAACGACCTTATTGAGATCCAGCTGGGAGCCTGAGAGGAACTCTCCCCGGTACAAGACCCTCTTCATGACACCAAGCATATGGTCAGATCCTTCGTATTCCCGCTCCGGTTCCGTGCCGAACTTGGAGAGGTAAGCTGCCCTCATTTCTTGGCGGTCACCTCTGCCAATCATCGCTTTGTAGTCTTCGACCGAGTGGATATCCACCTCGGCCAGCTTCCTTTTCTTGAGGAGCTTGAATTGCTCGACCGCGTTCTCCAGGCGGATAGCTGTGAGGACGCACGTGTGCTCATCGTAACCATTCTGGCCTGGTGAAAAGCCCAACTTGGGAGCCTCCTTCCGGAGTTCCTTTTCATCCCAACGGCCTGCCCAGTCCTGGGCCGTGACAAAGCCCTGCTTCCCCATGACAAAGAGGACAAGCCACGGGACCTGATGCCTGGCAAGGACCAGACGAACGTGCTCTTCGATTTTCATGACCTCCTCCTTGTAGGGGTCTGGGCACAGCTCCGGGGGCCGTGCCAGGGTCAGCTTGGCATCGACCTCAGCACCCGGTCTGTCCATACTGCCAGGCTGCAGGAGGGCCAGGCTTGAGCGAGAAAACCAGGAGAGGGCGGGAGGGCAAGAAAAAGAACAACACGGGAAACAACCCCGCGGTACCGAGACCCGTCGTGAGTCTGACCCAAAATGGCAGCCGGCCCGAGCAGGATGCAGAGGGAAGGCTGCTGGCTTGGCCCTATGACATGCGAGTTGATCAGTGCAAGCACGGATTCCTCTACAAATATCAATCCGGGATTTCTGGGGATCAGGATCTGCGAGATCTTTGAAGGACTTGGCTGTCGTAACAGCGGTAGGGTGGTTTGGTAAGGCAAACGGGTGTCACGGGCGGAACAACACGAGCAGTGCAAAGGCCAGGCCACCAAAAGCGTATGCATCTCACCCTAGGCCCCAGTCGAAAACGGCCAAGCTCAAGAAAGAACAACCCTGTCTACATCGAATGCAGTTCTCCCAGCTTGCCACAGGTCCAAATCCCCAAAGAGGCATACAAGTACTTAAGTCCTTTCTCGCCCTCACTCCTTGTCATGTACGGGCTTCAGCGAGGCCTCAAGTGCCACAAACTAAACCTCGAAGGCTGCAGCGCAGCCGGCAGGGATTCAACCCGCGAATCAGCCAATCACTCATCTCTGCCCGTGGAAAACTGCAAGCAGCATGGCCCTGCACAAGAATGCCAGCCTTTTCTTCGCTGCGAGCACGCTCCGAAACAGTTGGGAACTCTAGCAGTCTTTGCCTGCACAAAGATGCATCAAGCACGTCTTGCGACAAGCGGCCAACCCTACCGCTCCTCAAGTCCATGTACATGTTGTCCAGGATCACGTTGCTCCACGCCGAATCATCGTTGCATTAATGAAGGTCGGGATCGTCATTTCAAAGCTCTGGTTTGTTCATCACGTCCTGCACATGTGGAGACAACGGCATGCTTTCGCTAATGCCAAGCAGAGCAGCAACAAGCAGGCAGGATGCAGAGTAGCAAAGGTGCGAGGACACTGCTGCGGACTATGCTGACCACTCTTCGCTGTCACCTTCCTCGCTTTCAAATGCTGAGTCTTCAGACTACGTCTCTGCCCCTATCACCACATAAGCCATGGCATCACCATTTGAATAAGTATCTTGGTTAGATCAAAGTTAGATCCCTGGATTTTTGCGACGGATGAAACGGGCAGCGCTGTAGCCCAGGAGCCTGTCGGCACTGCCACATGCGAGAAATTAGCTGCTACCTGCCCGACCCTACTGGATGCGGTCAGTAAAGTAGGGGAATAGGAGCATACAAAGACTGCTGCTGGTGCAAACTTTCGTTAAAACATCATGCTATCAGAAGGTGAACTTAAGACACCGAATAACCGTGATTAACCTTTTTGCTGCAGGCTTGCACGCAAGGACGCCTGGTAGTTTGCCGCTCTCCCGCCAGTTGGGACTGTGCTCGTGACAGCGCCCCAAGCTTCTGAGCATGCGACTGAGAAACTCTTCACACTAGTCACCAGTCCGATTAACCTAAAGACGAGATGCCAGCCTCCACTTTCAAAACGCAGGCATACGCAGGCAGCACCGCCACCAACGCGACGAAGGAAAAGCAGGGATGTGAGAGCGAAGACGTCGGTTATTGCTCAAAACAGGACCGGCTTCAACAGATACAGTTTTAAGCTCGAGACGGGAAACCCATACAGCCATACAAGCATACGGCCGGCAGAGTCCTCCACCCCCTCGACTGCGCAAGGACGGCCACCTGCACCTGTGCACACCTCGTGGAAAATCGGGACATGCTTGACACGGACGGCGACATAAAGTTGCATTTGCCTGCGCTGCCGCCCTTGAAGCTGCTGCACAGCCGCCGGCGGCCTGCAACACTGCGATTGAAACCTGCTGGTCCTTAACGAAACTTTGGCAAGCAGCCTGGCACAGACCCAACTCGTGAAAAAGCGATTCGGAGAAGCGCTCCGGCTCCACAACATCCTTCCGAATGTCAATCTGGAGGTGTGTACAGTCTGACATGGCAGGAAGGAACAAGAAGGCGTCCTTGCAAGTCAAAGTCAGCATCGTGTCCTCGCTTCGGAAAAGGAAGCGTGTTCAAGTTCAAGCAAAGAGCATGCGGCATTTTCTGTGCGATCTGTGGCCGCAAGCTGAGAGCAAATCCTCCTCGGATTCTTCGGACTCTGGAGGCTGCTGTTTGCCATCCTTGGCGAGCAATCGCCATTTCTCTCGCTTTTGTCTTCGCTTCTTCGGCGCGGGTTTCAGGACGTAGCGATTCAGTTGCTTGTCCAGCTTTGGCCGCCAGCGGTCTGTCCAGTCAGGCGGCAGAGGCGGAGGTTCCACGCCAAAATAGTTTGGGATTGAAAGGTCTGGGCCTCCTGCACAGATGCCCTCCAGAATCGAGAGAATGTCAGATTCGCTTCGCAGGCTCTTGGGCTTTGGAATGACTTCTGACACCGTTTCTTCCAGCACTCTTCGGCAAACATCACATCGCAGATCTGCACGTGCTGTCCGAATTCGCGCCTTCGTAGCGTCATCCAGGTAGTGCAGTGGATCGTCGCGAGCCATCTCGAGCAATCGCTGGATGCCGAACTTTGAATCTTCCGGAAGCGACCGCATTGGATCTTCCTTCTTGCGTTTTTCCTCCACTGCTTCTTCCTTCTCAGCCATTTGTGCTCCTAAGTCCGAAACTTATGCTCGTCAAATCTAGTGCACTGAAAACTGCTCTACGAAGAAGCGGCTTGTGCCGAGCAACGCTGTGCCAGCCTTTTCTTGTCGTCGCTGTCTTGCTTCTTCTTTCCCTGTCGGCGGTTGTTCTGTCCAGTGAAGCCGAGCAAGCCGAAAAGGAAAGTTATTGGGGGGGATGTGCCTTCACCCCTTTGCCACAGAGCTTCGCGGAGCGAATGCAGAATTCTTGAGCAGCTCCTGCTGGTGATTGCTTTCCCTCCTGCGCGGGCAAAACGAAGACCTAAGCTTGATTGAGGCATCGGACGGAAGTCTCAGTCATGCGGTGCACCTATGTAATACTCCTTCACGGACTTGTACACATAGCCGGACGTATCGCCACCGTAGTCTTCCAACCACTGCTGGCAGCCCATCTTGAAAACCAGCATGGATCTCATGAAGCTTTCCTGCTTGCCAGCTTCAGCTGCCGCTGCCATCCTTGTAAAACTACAGAGCGCGTGGCTGATCGTGTTTAGCTTAAACTGTTCAGGCCATGGGCGCACTCTCGTCATCGTCCTCATGTTTGGCATCTAGTGAAGGCTCTCCATCCAGATTGAGTCGATACTTCCTTGGATGTTACCAGCATGCTGCTCTCACTGAAACTTCCGGACACTTTTGGTCGTTGTGGCCTCCCTAAGATTCCTCGACCATATTTTGCTTGCGGAGACAAGACATGTCCAGACGTAGCCGGACGGCTGGAGAGGAACCAAGGCCAAAGATTGGTAGTTGCCGAGTTAGCTCCGAGTGCTGTTCAAGTGTCTTCAGAAATTAAATCTCCCAGGTGCATGAAGCATGCATCCGGGAGTCTGCAGCAAGGCCAGGCACATCGCATTCGAAGTCTCCCAGATCCGCTCCTCTGATCCCACTCCTCGGCTGCTGCGGGATCTGCTGGTCACACAGAATTCACAAGAAGCAAATTTGAAGCTGCACCTTGTTCGGTCATGGAATGCCGCGCAACCTCCATGTGCATCTCACCTGGGATGGCTAGCAAAAAGAAGTGTCGAGAGACTTGCACCCATGAATCTGTCAACATTGGCCAGTGCCATGTGCAAGCGAAGACGACCACTAAGCCTTCGACTAATGACGGCCTTGCACATGCTGCACTCGAGTTTCTTGAGGGCAGTCTTCTCCTGCTGCTGCCCAGCTCCACACGACATGCTGTCCGCACGTATACCTATTCTGATCTGACTTTGGTGTCTGTTGGAGCACTTTTCAGCGATTCCTCCCGGGCCTGGCACCTACTGTAGGAAATGATCGATGAAGCAGGGTAATGGCTGTGCCTTGAAAACGTGCTCCCATTCGGGAGTTGCTGCCTAAATCACTGCACACGGCGCCCGCCTGCTTGGTCAGGCGCACTTGGACCCCTACCTTGTCTGGTATGGACTCTTCCGCCCAACAGCCACCTGCCAGCTTCGATCCCGAAGCTACGTTTCGAGAGGCACGCGGCACGCCTGACGGCAAACCCGCCTCCCAGAAACAGCACCAGTGCTGACCAGAACCTGGCACTCTGCAGAGCACTGCCGAGTGGTCCTAACCACGCTGCCTTCGTGCCTCCTCATTGCAACTGCCCTTGAGATGCAGCGACATCCACGGAACTTCAACACACCCTAGACCTAGCTACATGCGCATGGCGACGGCTCGATGTCAGTGATGGTTTTAATTCCCACGGTGATGAGGCCTGATGGTTTGAGTTGCGCTGCGACAGTCGCTTTTTGTTGCTCCATTGGATCTGCCCTTCTCATAGAGTAGACGCTGCTGTCACCGAGCCAAAACATGCAGTAGGTTGGAATCGCGAGCTGACGCGAAGACTCATCTACAAATGCCGACAGCGAGGGCAGCGTGCCAGTTCCCCGCATGATGGCTCCTTTTTGATGACACGTCACACCAAGCGAAATCACAAGTGCTCATACCTGCGGTAGTAAGGCTCCCAGATTGCCTTGTTGTAGCCATTGCTCTTCCATGGCTTTCTCATGCCGTTCCAGTGTAAAATGTGCAGTTGTCCAGTTTCGTCCTTGTTCTTCTGATCTAATCCGAAACCCAAGGCGTTCCACTCCTTCTCGAACAGGATGAAGTCATCTGAATCGTTTGGGTCGTGCAGTTGGAAAGCCAGAGTTAAAGGAGGCTGGGAACCTCCCTTCCAGAGCCCACCTCACATATCAGGACTCACCGGGTCGATGCGCAACAGATGCCATGGACATGCAGCTAGGCTGCCAGGACAGCTGTTTTGGAGCCGCACCAGCTTCTCGATGCGGGCGGCTGCTTTCACGGTGCGCCAGCGCTCCAAATTGACCGCAAACACCCCTCGCAGATTCATTCGGCACAAACGATACTATATTTGTCAACTGTATCTAGATTAGACACGAAGAGATGCCCAACTTTCCTAAGTCCCTGCTCTCGGCTCCTGTGTTGTATGCTGTCAGGTTCTTCAGCTTGCTCCAAGACACATCCAATTCCGGCGCACACTTGCCGGTCAGGAAATTTGGATACATCTTGGTGCTTCGGGAGACAAATCCTATGGTCTTTCCAGATTGCTGCAGTCGCGTCTGAAGCTCTTTCACATCCTTCTGGACAATGGTGTCGGCATCAAGCCACACTGCGAAGTTCATCTGCGGAATGATCCTATCCTCATGACAATTGCTGACAGTTTCCACGCACCAACTAAGCAGCTGCATGCGCACAAAAGTCCGAAAGAGGAAGCTGAACTACTTCCAGACATGTGGATGACAACAGCTCCAAGAATCCATGTAAATTCTGGCATACACCTCTGGGTCATCCAACTCGCCACGCTCCTGACGGACTTCGCAGCTCTAAGTCTGCTAAAAACCACAGAACCTCAAGATTTAGGACCCCTCACTGGCATTCCATACCTCGAACTGCCTCAGTCAGTCTCTTTGATATGCCCCTACACCCGGACTGGGGTCTGAAACCCTAGTCGCGCCGGAGACCGCAGCACCAACGTGCAACAGCCAACTCGATCACAACATGTTTGCATGTTGCGGGTCCAGCTAGGGGGACGAGTCAAACAAGTCCACATGATGTCGCAACACACCACGAAGGCTCGTGACCAAGAGCATCACGGCTACAAGCACCGCTCTGCTGCAGCTCTAGCAAGTTAGCCCAGACTGACAAAGCAAACGCTTTTGATTTAGATATCGGGGTGGGCGTTTCCGACGCGTCATAAAGTTGGGAGAGGTGACTCAGGACTTCTCGGGCGGTCCTGACGTATCCGAATTGGTATCTTGCCTCTGTCGGCCTCCACGATGGTCGTCGGTATCTCATGGAGGGAGATGACCTGTACAGAGCTGTTGTAGGGACCCTGACAAACAAGTCTTCTTTGCCGTGGCAGCGCGTCCATTTTACAAGCCAGACGCGTTGTCAGGTGCAACCGGCAGATTTCAGGTTAAGGCCAAGTGGCTGCACCTGCAGATGTGATCCTTTGGGTCGACCCGATGCCCAACTCACGCCGCAGCCGTTCCAGGTGCTTGCTTTGCACCATCACATGGATGACCAGTTCGCTCGGTGAGGCAGACGACGCAATGCAAGAGGCGATGGAGGCTTTAAGGCCAGGAACCACATCACCATCGGCAGAATACACAACATGGATCTTTCCATCAGAGCTCTTCTCATTTTGAGAATAATGCTCAAGAAACTGCCATCGCATGACATGTCCTGGTCGTCCTCGGCCTGGGCTTCAAGAAGCAAAGATTTTCCATCAAGCCTCTTCGAATCTTCGATTCCTTACTCCCGTGATCGCCGAGGAGCCAGATAGCATATCCGCACTGCCACGCATCAGACCTCCTGGCACCCCGTCGGCATCGACAGTGAACCTTCGGGTTTTTTGCTCACTACTTGCTTGGAGCTTGAGGTGCAGGTGAACAAGCACCTCGCAGGAACAGCTCCCACAAGCCCAGCACACAGAACCGCAATGCCTCAGTCGGGCATATTGCCACGAACGTGCCGGTCGCATCTACTACTGCCTGTAAGTGCGTGACAGACCACTGGTCGGTGCATCATTCCATCAAGTTCGGGCTGTACAGTTGGAAGCCGCCGGGGCTTACGGACATGGATTCTCAAACTGACCTAATGGAGAAACACTTTCGGTGGATAACCGCGGCTTCGACCCTTCCAGACAAGCTGCTTCGCAGTTTCCAAACATGCAGTCACTCTGCCGGCAGATCCCCCAAGGCAAGAAGCAGACATGTGTGGGTTTCCGTCCCTGCCTGTAAATGCGTCGGCCGACGGTTGGAAGGTGTCCGCAACGAATTCAAACCTAACTTTACTACGCATGGGCTTCGTTGACAAAAGCCAATGCAAGACCCGCTCCAAATTGTCCAGTCGACGTGATGGAGCATTCTCCACTTTGCGGATGAAGGCTCCATGTTGGAGCCCACCGTTCGTCGAGTGGCGGCGTGGCCGCGAGGAGTCCGAAGGAGCCAAGAGCTCTTGCAGCTTTACTTTGCAAGCCACGAACGGCTAGTGCTGCAGATTCTGTGCACCGTCGTCGAATTGAGCCAAGACCGCTGGATGCTTAGAGCGTCAACAGGGAACGGGTCACTTTGCTGTTCTTCAGGTGCTCTTGCGACTGACTGCTGCTCCACTGACTAAGGCTAAGCATCAGCGCCTGTACAGCTTTGGATTAGCATGGGCTACGAACGTGCAAGTTGAAAAGTCTCAGGTTCTCCGCGTCTTGCCGCCAAAATTCCCCACATTGAAATCAGGCATTAGAGCCACCTCGAGAAACCAGCAAATGAGTCTCAGCATGCTACCGAATCCTTGTTCCAATGTGGTCATGCTGCAGACAGCAGTCCGTCAAACAGCAGCACTTGCTCTGCTGAATCTGTTGAACCACTTGTCACCTAGCCTTGCGCTTGATCTGGTAGCGGCTGTATCAACCACGGATCGCGCGGTCGGTCGAACATGATCCCCAGAGTTATCCTGACAGGGCCCAGAGCTGGCATCTGTCGTATCAAACAATCATGCGGCGGTCACCGCCGGGAGACAACGAAACAGAGCTGTTCGGGGAGAAAGATCGAGCTGTATATTGAGGTTGTTGAGCAAACACCGAGTTTCAACTGTCTTCCGGATGCCAAATAGCAGACCGAGTGCAGCTCGGACGGCGAGGACAAGCCGCGTCAGAACCCATCTCTTCCTACACCGAAGCCCCAAACCCAGTGACGCATCAACCTCGCCCTTCCAATCGAACCAGCAGGATTCGTGCGTAGCTCACAGAATACCGTCTGCTCATTCAGCCGGGACTCATTGCTTGCTTCTTGGTACGTTTCCGCTTGTCACCTCAGCTGCACCCCCGACCTTGGCCTCAGCCGAATCCTTTCGGTCCTGCTGAGCCAGGCACCACCGACACTGAGCGGGATCATTCCATCGAAGCCGCTGCAGAACTGCTCTACCTGCACAACTCCCGTCGCCAGAAGCGTGTCAGCAGTCCATCTGTCCTCAGTATTTTCGAGAGAAGTCTTCTTCGGATAGACTGCGCGACTACTTCGATCCTGCAAGCCCAAAGTGCTCAGAATGCTTTCTTACGGGTATCCTCTTCATTCGGTGCTTTTTCACGGCTACACTTTACGGACTGAAGTTTCTCACTGGAAGGTAGGCTGCCCGGGAAGCTGGAAACACCTCAACCTCAAGTTCACTTGCTGATGAGCTTCGTAGTCCCAGACAGACACTTCCAGCGCGACTTCGCCGTTGTATGTCACTTTGCCTCCAAACGGAAACCAAGTCTATTGTGTTCCGTGATGCAGAAGGTAGGCTGGTGAGACCACTACACAAGCCGCGGCGTCACGCCGACCTTCGCAATCCCAAATGGGATCACCCCCTGCATCTGCGAGAACGCTGGTCCTTACCTCCTGCCATGCACTCGAACAGTGGCAGCAGTGCCCTTAAACGGTTCTGTGTGGCAGCAAGGCATGACATGGCATGATCTGCTCTGTCCTCCCGGCTTCCACGGAAACGAACAATGGCGTATGGATCCAGCTTGTCAAACCAACTACCACCGGACAGGTTGGCTGCGTTCCGGATGCTGATGGTTGCCTGATGACGGCGAGCTGCATGTGCCGTGCGGAAAGCATGAACGCCGTTGGAAGTATCGGACCTGAGGCCATGACCTTGACTCCTTTGTAGGCCATGCGGAATTTACTGGGATCCACGGCTTCCTCCGGCGCACCCTTTGATCCCAGTATACCTGCCGACATGCACTCAGCTTTAGGCACAATCAAGCACGAGCCTCCTCTGAGCACATTCTAGCAACAACGAAGGCATTCTGGGTCGTTTGCTTTGCCGCTTCACAGACTGATTTCCTTCCCGTTCTGCGCCTTTTCGTAGCAGCTCGTTCTGCTCCTCGTTTTCCCACCTCTGCATCAGGTCCTTCACGTGCTCCCTGATTGTTGATTGCTTTTCCTGGCATTACAACTACAAGTCAAAGCCCAAACCAGCACAGGCGAGCAACTGCCCAATGTTGCCTGCTCCGACCGGCAATTGCAAACACTCAACACTCGACACTGGCAGGTGTCCAGAGCTTGTGCACGGCAAGCTTGCACGAAGGCTT